TACATTTGGGATCAGAATTTTGTGAAACCGTTTAATATATTTCCCTTTTTGTTCTATAGTTGGCTGAGAACTATCTATTTCATTAATCTTTCTTTTCGCCTATTCTTTCGTCGGTTATTTAGCCGGAAAATGCTGTTGATATATTCTGTTTTGCCCAGTACCATTATGGTTTCTAATATTGGACAATGTATTTTCACACTGCAATAAAAGTTTCCAGTGTGTTTTACGAATGTTTGATGTCTCTCCGACTGGTCTCCTTATTTCAGATCTACTGTCTCAAATGAAGTCGCATGCTGCAATTTCTTGCTCTGTTACTCTATTTCTCGTTCTCTCCCCCCCCCCTCCCCCTCTCTCTCTCTCTCTTTTTTTCTCTCTTGCACCACCTCTTTCTCTATCATATATTATCTTTCTCTTCAACGTTTTGCAATCTCTATGTAAAACTCCCTCTATTTATCTCCCTCTGTATCTCCCTTTACCCCTCTCTTTATTAATCAAACTCTATAATGCTTAGAATGAAAGACTGGCATGAATAACACAATGAATAATGAGGGCGTTATCTCTATTCGAAGCGGGAGGGACAGAAAGAGTATGTGTGTCTGGTATATGGAATAGTGCATGTGCTGAGCGCGGACCGGTATTGAATTCTATTACGTCAGAAATATGCGAATTTTACTTAGTTGTGGGCTTAAATAACACACTTGGCTAACTTTGGTATTTAGTTCAATATTTTGGCGAAGCATTTTGTCCTAACATTTAATACAGCTGCCGAGCAGGCTTAAACAGATTATTTAGAGGATTTGACTACGCAATTAACGACGCGTTAATTGCACGTTATTTTGGATTGACAATATGACGTCACAATTATCATCAGCTGGTATTTTACTTAAAAGTCGGCTAAATAAGTAAGAAGCTCTTGAAGAAGGAATCTGAATACGTTTCAATACATATTACTTAGGCGAGAACAAAATCACTGACTTTAATAATCTACGTATTGATTTTAATAGTAGTTGGAAGTTTTGTTTATGTCAGGACCCGACTGGCTCTCCTACACTGCAAAAACAGTGGTGTTAAATTCAACACCATAGGTGTTAATATTAACACCATTCCGGTATCTATATCGGAAAACACCAGTTGGTGTTATTTAACACCAAGGTCTGGATTTGAATGATTCAATTCTACTCTTGGTGTTGCAATTCAATTCTATTTTTGGTGTTAATATAAAATCCTACACCATTTTCTGGTGTAACAATGAATCTGATTTCTGGTGTTATTTAACACCACCGCCTGGAATGAAATAATTTTAATTCTACTCTTGGTGTTGCACTTCAATTCTATTGTTGGTGTTATTTTACACCAATTCTAGAATTAAATAGTATAATTCTGCTCTTGGTGTTGCAATCCAATTCTATTTATGGTGTTAATATAAAATCCAGCACCATTCTTCGGTGTTGCAATAAATCCTATTTTTGGTGTTATATAACACTAAAGGTCTACTACTTTTCTACTCTTGGTATTGCAATTCAATGCTAGTCTCAGTGTTTAAAAAACTCAACACACCATTCTTTCAACACCAACAATTCATTCCAGCTCACTCCATCTTAACACATGCACAGAAAATATTCAAATACACACAAGAAGTGAAAAGAAACAATTTTTTTTCGTAAACAAAAACACATGGTGCTTGTTTAATCAATAAATTAAACAACTTGTTTTCATTCATGTTGAAATCAATGATGCTTAGCGTTTTTATCTTGTATGGTTCAACATTAAATCCTTTTGTCATGTATTCAAAATCTGTGACTCATTTGTCTGAATACAACAAAACACACTTTTTTAAATCATTCAAAATCTGTTATTATGAATCCACCCTTATAAGTAAAAAAAAAAGGATGAAACAAGTAACTAAAAATCATTCAAAATCTGTTATTATGAATCCACCCTTATAAGTAAAAAAAAAAAAGGATGAAACAAGTAACTAAAAATTTTCCAATATAAAAACTTTAAACAATGTCATAATTCCTTTCAAGGAATGAAAAATCAAAGTCGTTTCTAATAAATAGAAACTAAACAGGATGCAAAATGCATGTATAAATGAAGACAAAACAAAAAAAACAACAAACATTATGCTTCTACATCAGAGTGAATTATGTAGCTAATAAGAATTTTGACACATTTCACCTTGAATCCTAGTACATGCATGCTGAAGGAAAATTTCACAGAATCTTTTTCATATGAAATATACAGAGTGCCCCCCCCCCCAAAAAAAAAACCTTGGAAACTGCTAGTATAATCTGCAGGCAGACTCTCGGCTTCGGTTTTTCGCAAGTTTCGTAGTGCATATTTCAGAGTCTGCAGTCAGAGACTACTTTCACTCATATCATGATCCCTTAAAGGGAGCATAACTGTATGTGTATATGTAGTCTCTAAATGCAGACTCTACATCGTGCACTATGCAAATTGCAAAACCGAAGCCAATGGTCTGTGCCCGCAGACTAATTATAGTATGACTTTAATTTCTTATGCTAGAACAATAGCAACACTAACAAATCTCATCCAGCAGTTTTGTTGAACAAGATTTTTTTACCACAGGCCTGCAACCATTGAGATTCAGGATGATTTAATTATTTCAGGGGATTTTTATCTCCTAGCTTCACTGCTTGTAAAGGGTTAAACAAATGTTTCAAAAACATTGAAAAAACACTATAAATTCTACATTCATTCTAATATAGGTGAACATTCTTTTACAGCTTTCTGTTTACAAACATATTCCATTTTACATCGTGCACTATGCAAATTGCAAAACCGAAGCCAATGGTCTGTGCTCGCAGACTAATTATAGTAAGGCTTTTTAATGTCTTATGCTAGGAAGCAGCCTTCAAGAACAATAGCAAAACTAACAAATCTTATCCAGCAGTTTTGTTTAACAAGATTTTTTTTTACCACAGGCCTGCAACCATTGAGATTCAGGATGATTTAATTATTTCAGGGGATTTTTATCTCCTTCACTGCTTGTAAAGGGTTAAACAAATGTTTCAAAAACATTAAAAAAACACTATAAATTCCACATTCATTCTAATATAGGTGAACATTCTTTTACAGCTTTCTGTTTACAAACATGTATTTCCCATTTTACTCCTGGGAGAAAAAATCAAAAAGTAAAATTATGCATTTCTATATCAACTAATTCGCTGCTCGTTTTTCCAACAGGATATAAACAACAACAACAAAAATCAGTCCATGCACTTCTAGTTCACTGGCTTTCATGCACAAACATCATAGAATTGTTTTTCTTGTAAGAAAAAAAAAGAAAATATACAACAGCTATTTGACTTCAATTTGGTTTCGAATTAACCAATTTAAAGATGTTAACAATTAAGAGTCCAAAATATTATTGATCAAAATTATTTTTAAAACCAATTGATACCACTAAGCAAAACCAGACATTAGCTTGAAAGCTTTAAATTACTTAAAAAGTACATGCCTTGGTGCTACATACTTCCTCGAGTCTGTCTTCGACAAAGTTGTCATCAAATCTAGTGGTTTGTAGTCAACAAGTTCCTTTTGATTCTTCACTACATGACAACGTGGAAAACTAAATTCTACTGCATAGGCATGATAGTGTGAATTGTAATACACTGTATCTAATTGGACAAGTACAAAAAATACAGTGCTATTGTGTAATGATATGCTCTATTTGACCAAACAGAGGAAGCTCGCTAACATCATGGCAGACCAGAAGTGACAACTGATAATGTGTTCCATGTACTTTAACCCAGTTGGCATCAAATAATTCAGTAGAAAGATCCTCTACTTGGATTTGCTCTTGCACAATCTGTCCAATATTTTCATCTAAATCTGACAAAAGTAGTGAACTACCTGGCCCAACCTCCAGATATTCCAAAGGATGGTTTGACTGAAGATGGAACGTTAGTGCTGTCTGATGTTTTTTGGCAAGTGATTTACAAATGTTTTTGTAATTACGCACAGATTCTGCAACACGGCCAAAATGGTGATGTTTCGCTTCGTACCTCATACACCATACATGTATGAGTGGCCCAACTTCTCTCAAACACGTTGGATAATGCACCATAAAGTGGTGTTTTGGCAACAACCTTCTGTCAGGAAAGGTTTTCTGGAAATGTGTGTGATGTTCTTCAGTAAGAATAGACAATTGGGCTATCAAGCCTGCTGTCAATTGAGGAGCAAAAATAATGTCCATACAATCTAGTAATCTAAGTAGCAATTCCCAGTAGACATTTCCTTCTTCAATGTCTTGAGCAATTATGAATGGCAGATTTCGAATCAAGCACCATGCTTGCATAGCCTTCTGTCCAACATCATTCCTAGCTGACCTAAGTTTAATAAAGGATGGTTTGTTCTTGTTATCTGTACGGTTTAAGCAATGGCTGGCGACTCTCTGATTCAGTTCATCTTGGGACAAGAGGGGCGGTTGCCTTTCATATATGAAATACTCTAGAACAAGTTTCAGCTCATACTGAACTATGCCTTCCAAAAGATCATGCATTATATCTAGTGAAAAGTTTGCCAAGACATGAAAGTAAATACAATCATTCAATACAGTCTTTTGTTTCACTCCAAACACATGTGACTGGGTAGTTTGAGCTTCAGCTTCTTCTAAATGTTGCTCATAAGTCTGCCTGGTGCGCATATCCATTGAAACCTCTTTGAATTTGTTCTGTGCCTCTTCCTTACTTGTAACACATAATCGACAGTAATAATGAGCAGAAAAGCTCTCTACAAATCCCAGTAGGGAATTAGCACCAAGATTATCAGCACTTATTTGAGTAATGGTCCCCTTCTTCACAATTCCATTAGGGAGAGCAATGCCAACTGTTGACAGGATATTAATGTCTTTTACAATGTGCTTGAGAATAGCATTAAATCCATATTTCTTGGCATCTTCAGCATACCATAGAGCTATAAGATTGATATTGGAAAGATTGGAATTATACTTTGGTGGCAGATTTTTCAAAATGAAATATAAAGCACCTATCTTGTGAATTTTTGTTTTTGAACCAATGGGGTTCACAGTCTCGAAATCATCATAAAAACAGTGAATTTGGAGGGCATTCTCATCTTCATGGAAAAGAGGGGTTTTCTCAAATTGTGAACCATCACAATAATCTCTCATTACACCATCTGTGCTCTTATGGTCATGAGTAGCAAAATGCAATATATCTTTATTGCTTAAAAGCTGCTTCAAAGAATCTAAAATGGGAACGTAAACAAATGTATCTTCAATAGCAATCTGTTCATACTGCTTAGTTCTTTTATTGAGACGACTATCATATCGGATGCCTAACTTGATTTCTTGTGGTTCAACAAGTCCAATTGATTCACAATACTTTGTCCGCTTATATTCTGAATTCAAATTTTCAAAGGGCTTTTCAAGCATAGCAAAATGTGTTTGAATCTCCTTATAAGCCTCGGATTCTATAGGCAGCTTATGTTTTAAGAAAGCAGCTGTAACGGCTGCCGATGCACTTTTTACTACATCACCTACAATCGCACTGGTTGTTTCTACTACATCATTTACAACTTTTCCAGAGTTTGCACTATTTGCTGAAAATTTTGAAATTACATTTACACACTGCCTGTTCAAGGTATCTACAGATAAAATGTCATCTTCATATACATCCTGATCTTCAACAATCTCATCATTATTAATATTGTATTCTTGAAGACTTTCAAGACTTTCTTCAGGAAAGTCACTCACTTTATCATTTTCATTAGACTGCTCTTTATTATCTGGAAAATCGGTTTTAAGGTGAGTCTGCAAATGTCCCCGAAATCCTCGAAAAGTATGAAATGTTCTCGCACAAGCTCCCTGCCCACAGGTCAATACTTCTTTACCATCTTCAATAACTCCATGTTTCAATCTCAAATGTTGAACCAATTTGGGTATTGCAAACTGTTTGTGGCATTTGAAGCAAATCATGGTGCTAACAATTTCGATCTAATTTCACGTACTCTTGGTGTTTCCCGGGACACTCCGATATCGATTTCAAAAATGGCAGTCTGGACAAAAGTCCAGAACTGCCGCAGAGACAAGCAGTACTGCAGGCCAAAGACAAAGTGGGTCTTGAAGAGTAAATCTACTGCTGCTTCGACCGTGCGTGCCGAACATGGAATGGCCTTGTGATCCACAATGATCATGTAGTTGGTGATTCGGGCCTTGGAATTGCCAATTGCCAGAAGGAACGGTTGACTCTTGGTCTCTTTTGTGTTGTCGAGGAATGCTTGAATACTCCCTCCTGTCTGTGTTGAAAACAAATTATTTGTATAGAATGTAACTAGCACTCAACGCATTTCAATACTCAACGCATTTCAATGAACAACATATTTCGATCAACATTTTTAAAAGACAGCCTTACATGTAGTACTGGGGGAAATTGTGTTTTTACAAAAGGGTTATTGGACAATAATGTAGGACATAAAACCAAATCAAATTTACATCAAAGAAAAGAATTGGAATTGGTCCATCAAATGATATAACATCAAAATATCAGATGATATTTTTTGTAATGAAATACAATTTTTCTTACCCTGTAGAGGGGTAAAAATGCAAGTACTTTCAAAGCTTGTTTTATGTATATGATTAAAAAGGGTCTTTCTAATGTGGTCAAGACATTTCAACTTCCACAAAAGGAGTACGAAAAATAAAGATACTGCAATTTCTGCACTATTATTAACTTGCAGCAAATTTGTGGCATGAAATATTCCTTTTCATTTATTGATTCTCCATGTAGGGCTGTGAAAATCAAAGGCAACATGCCTGATATATCACACAAGTTGTTACTATGTTTTCATACACAACATGTTCCTAGTATTTGTTTGCAAATCTTGATGTCTACTGTTCTAGTTTATTTTACTCCGACCAATTTCAAGGCGGGTGAAGTTTTTGAATAGGCCTAAATTTCTCGAGCACCTTCTCTGTCCAAATCAGTCTAAGCCTCTTCATGTAAGAGATCATAAACCAATATAATTGTTCTCTTTGAACACACATCACGATGCTTTCTGAAACTTTTTTTTTAATGCAGCAAGAATGTGTTTTATGTGACAGGGTATTACCGGTACTTAATATTTACAGTTCTCTTTCGTAATGAAAAGCTAAATACCTTCTGAAATTGAATAACCCTCGAGAGAGCTGAAGAAATGGACACTTTTGCAGACGCAGCTTTGGACTTCCCTTGGCTTGCAGGAGGCAATAGGCACAAGAGGAGGAGGATAGCAGATGTGCTGGAATTCCATCCTGTGCATTACAAAATGAAAATGGTTATTATTAAACAGGCTTACATGTTGATCAAGGTGAAAAATAGAAGTTAAATGTACCAAAATAATTACAAACTGACCTGCTAAAATTTGAATCAAAATAGCCTGTAACAAGAAACTATTATAAGAAATAAGTATATAGTCGAGGACTTATCAATATTATAGCCAAAGCATGCAAGTGGCTGTTAATGCAGTTTAGGGGTACTAAACCAAAAATCCAATTGATGCCAGCTTGGCACCCTTGGAGAAATTTTACTGACACTTATAGCAACGCCTTCTTCTTCTTTCTTATGAGAATTTATACAAAGGGGGATGGGAAAAAAGAAATCAATAGGAAAATAATAAACGGGATATTTATGCATGGGAGAAGGCAACATTCATGGCAAAGCACCTAACCTAGATTGTTCTCTGTTGACACATATATAACAAACTCTTTAGTAGCATAAGTTCATGTTTTTTTTTTTACAATTTTTTTCTTGTTCTACTGAATTTAACATGCTTCTACCCAATTTGACATCCTTTTCATGATTAAATCACAAAAATTGCATCAATACTGGAATCAAATGTTGCAATTAACAATTTATCAAATATGTCCCCTATGGGCCACCATATTTTTCAAAGTTAACTAATGAAGAAAAACAAAAATATCATGATTTTCTGAATTCTAAAGCATTTATCTTCAAATAAAGACAGAGTAAACACAAGCAAGCTGCTAATATGTAAATGCAGGGTCCTGTGGGGTCGATTCAAGTTCATATTATAAGATAATAAGCCATGCATATCATATCTGAGGAAGAAAAATAACAAAGTGAACATATAAACATGATGCTTTGTTTCAAAACAGAAGCTCATTCTATTTCAAAAGTAATGATTGGCAATGTGATAATCCTTATAAAGATTCCACAATGGGCCATGCAACAAACTTTTTTCTTCATAATTATATAAATTTCTTCTTCATAATTATATAATTAATATAATAAAAGAATTATGGAGAGCATGTTCCAACTACAAATAACTTTGCCAAGTGGGCATGTAATGTAATTTTTTGTAATTCTCATTGCAACAAGAGTCCACATTATTTGAGATGCCCAATAACCCTACTGTATCCCAGCCTTCCAGATAAATATAATTTGTTGGAGGAGTTGACAAAAAAAGGGGGGGGGGGGAATTGTTTTAATTGGGATGGGTCATTTTTTGTGATTTCAGCATACTTGTCCCTTAATATACATTTTTAATGAGACTGCAAGCTCTTTGGTGGAATTCTCAATGGTGGTTTAAGACCAAGGTCTAAACTTGGTTCAAAACCATGGATTGGATTAGATTTGCATGTATTCTAAAACTTGTCCAATGAACATGCTTGTGTGAAGCACATATATGCTCAAATTTAAACTAACCTATCAATGGTTTATCCATGGTCTCAAATAAACCACCATCAAGAATTCCACCCTTTATGACATCGGAGGGTGCATTCAAGGGAATGTGCAAAAATACCTTCTTTATTTTGATCAGAACTGTCATAAGATGACAGAAGCTCCATCACTGTCAAGTTTCCTTTCTGCTTCAGAAGTTGTCTTGCAAGTGTAACAACCTTGGGCTTCAACTCGGGCCATTTGGTCAGGAAACGCGAGTGATTTTCAGGAAAAAGTTTCCGAAAATCTACCTCAATCTGCAAGAATACATGTAAAAGGAAAACGGGGAAAAGAGAGAAAAAATAAACTATGCATAATTTTACAGTACAGATACCCCAGTTAGACTAAATCAGCAATATAATAAGGTACCGTCAAAGCTCAGACCCCCATATATACACACCCCAGATCCAGGAAAAGGGGATTCTTCAAATATTTATCTGAATAGCAACCACTAAGAAGTACTTTTGAAGGTCTCTCTACACAAAATCCATACATGAATGAAACTTGCTGGACCTTTGAAATAGATTAGATTTGCTAGATATCACTCATGTTGATGCTCACTGTCCAAAGGTACATGACAACCAGTAATGGTGATTGTTCACCAACAGACAGTCACATGCGGTAAATACAGATACAGATTGAAGGATAAAACTGGCAGAATCTTCGGACTGATATTTTCAAAATCTCAAACATATATAATAAAACAGAGAAATATGAATTTGATGCCTCAGTGCCAAGTAATAATTCTGATGCTTTAATTCCCATACACATAATTTTGTTGCCTTAGGCCTGAGAGGCTAAATCAAGAATTAGGAGTAAATTTTTTTGTAACACTTACCAAACCTGGAACAGTTTCAAAAGGAAACTGTTCCAAAATATCCGATGCGGAGCGTCCGTCCCTGACCATATGCTGTCTAACAGGAAAAGTGGATTTCATCTTTTCAACAACCAGGGTAGAATCACGTTCTAATGTTGGACAGTGTCGTAACCAGTTGAGGTCTTCATCATAGGTGCAGCCTGGAGCAGATTCTTGGTCACCTTCTCGGACCTTCCCAGGACCACCATCTCTGCTTGATGGCTTGGGTAATGGGTTGGATGTCTTCTCCTCTGTTGTGCGGTTAACATTTTTTATTCTAGCAGCCAGGAATCCCGTGTTACTTCTTGCATCAAAATAAGCTTCCTAAAGTGAAAGAACGAGATGAATCTTTGACCGCGTGGTTGAAAATGTATGTATAAGCTTTTTGTTGATAATATTAACCTTGAAATGATGCACAAAATGATGTGATGAGAAATTGTAGTTTTCAAAGAAATTTTAGCAAAGTAGCATTAGTGTCATATAATGCAAGCATCTTGACTTTGATACAAGGAAGCAGCCATCACTCTGCCCCACTTCAAGAAAAAAAGAGTTTTGAGTGGTTGTGAAGGAGAGTAGAATGGTATCATACATTTCTTATTGGATATTGTGCCAAAGATGGTGGAGTGTGACCTACACAAGATAAAATTAAAAAAAAAAAATTCTTCTCAGAATATAATTTAGAGAGATTTTGAGGGTATTTTTATCTTATCAGAGTATCATAAGTTTTCTTTTGATTAATGGAATGCAATACCTTCTTATCAGAGAGGACCATGCAGGGCCCATATTCAATTAAATACTTCAGTCAGAAAAATAAATATTTTTTCTTAGATTTTTGCTCGGATAAAATACTTTGCAGATTTTGGTATTCAATTCATAAATTTGGCTAAGTATTTTACTTTAAATTTAAGACACCTCTAGAGGAGACTTAAGCCAAAGCATTTACAAATTTAACTGGTAGATGAAGGCTTACATGTATGTGCGCAGTCACTCTCAGCTGCGGAGAATTATGAAGTAGCGCATTTTTGGTGCAATGTGTTGATTGCGCATCATTTGGTCACAAAATCGTGATGTCACAATGCCTCTCAATAAGTATTTTACTTAAATTTTGACTTACTAAAGTAAAATGCTAAGAACTGAATTGAATACAAAATAAGTAAATACCTTAGCCAAAATACTTAGTAAAAAAACTTACTTAGTCAAAGTATTTATTTGAATATGGGCCCAGATTATAATACTTACATGACCTGTGCTAGTAAACGGATCCTTGAGTCTTGGAAACAGATTCACTATCCCCATGGCATATTTGGTTTTCATAGCTGCTTTTGGATGTTTGCTGTGAAATAAGAAAGCACATCTCCTGTATGAGAATTACAGTCATATGGACTCATGACTGGCTCTATTAAAACAGAACTTAGTATGTTGATAACAAGTAGCATACCCCTAGTGGTCTCGTCTGCATCATATAATTTGCTATAGTTTAGTATTTTTTTATTACTTTAAAATCTCAAAATATCACATGGTTAGTTCATAATACATTTATAAAGTGAGGCCTCATGACGATGAGGCCGCTAACATCTACGGCATTAATCTATTTTAACGTAATGACCCAAAAATGTCACTCACAAGACTGGTAATACCTGATAACCATCATGTGCAAATCACATTTAAAACTAGATGAATCTTCGACCACGCACGGTCAAAATTTAAGCCTCTGCCATCATGCGATCAGAAAGATATTATTGCTTGTTCCATGCCATTGGAAATCCGAAACATTTTGGGTGATTTTACAAATTTTGGGCACTATGAACTTTGACCCCGTGAACCCAAAATCTTCTTCCTCCCATGCTAATACATAATTGAGCTAGGTTTGAAAGAAATTAGTTCAATTTGTCTGAAGTTATAGCAATATCGAGCTTTTTTCGGGTAATTTTTTACAATTTTTGTTTGGCCCTGTGACCTTTGCCCTTTGACCCCCTAAACCCCAAATCTAATCAGTTCATCCTCACATGTATATAAATACTTGTGTCAAGTTTGGTAAAAATCCGTCCAGTAGTTCTGAAGTTATCGTGGTAACAAGTTTCCGACGGACGGACGCACGGACGGACACACGGACGCACGGACGGAAGGACGGACGGACAACCCCGAAAACATAATGCCTCCGGCACCACCTGACGGTGGCGGAGGCATAAAAAATGAATATTTTGAAAAATGATTTTGAAGAGACAACAAATTCCTTTAAAGTTGACCATGTTACCTCAGTTTCTTTTCACATAATTGGTAGTACCTGATAATTATTATGTGCATTTACACAATCATAAAAGAAAATTTGCTGGCACTTACCCATAGTGTTCTTGCATGTGGGCTACCAAAAGGTTAATCATCTGCCGTCTAGTTTTATCTTGAAGTGCTCCAGTCAATTCATACTCTCGGAGAATGGCATCACCTCTGTGCCGCAAAATTTCTTGTACAAACTGCAAACAGGTAAATCATCCCATTAAGTCATAAATAAACATATTGAGTTTATAATGCACTTTCAGGCACTTTAATTCATACTGACCTTTCTAAGGGCACGAAATTTTATGAATGACTATGAATTTATATAGGTACATTATGATATTAAAATTGATATATGGCCAATAATCATAAATTCTAAATAATAATATATTTATTTATAGAGCTTGAAATAGTTTAAATATTGTTAAATACACACTCCCACAAACACCCCAAACACACATATGCACACACGCACATACACACACACGAGGGGACACATGAGGCTACAGGTAAATTTGTGTTTATTGTAATGCGAGTTCCTTCTACTTAATATAGACATGCAAGCCCAATGCCATGGGGAGACCGTCTAAAGTGCCCTGAACAGTGTTCATTACTTTCATATCCACAAACAATACAGCAGGAAACTATTCTATGTTTGGGATCATCATGAACACTACAATAAAGGTTATGTAACAATCGATGCATCTCATCTTCAACTTTTTAATTTTGATATTAGTCCTTTTCCTTGATACCCTCAGAGGTCTATATGGAACCAGATCATGAGATGTATTATTCGATGATTATTTACCTCATTTCTCTTTCCCATTTCTAAAACATTTCATAAAATTTGGCAATTCAATTTAAACCTCTAGACATAATATCATTTGTTTGAAATCATACCACCCATTGGAAGAAAATGAAACTGTAAAAGTTTATGGAAAACTTATGACAGATGACGAAGCAAAAAAGATGGCCAATATCTTACAGGAGTCGTCAGCTTAGATGTACCAAAAAAGAAATCAAATTAGTTGCCTAATGTTAACCTATACCATTACAAAAACCTTACTACAGGAAATATTAATTTACAATGTTAGTTCTAACTACACTAGATGTATTTTTTTTCTCCCAATATCATTTTCAATTTTAAATAATATGAAATCCGTATAGGTGATGAGTCCCTTATATTATGTTGATTATGATAGCTGAGATTGAAATGAAGCAAACAATTTTTTCTTAACCTTACCTCACAAGAGTTGTCAGTGATTGCACCTGATTCACTGAGGGCATTTAATCGTGGCCTCTTTCTACTGGAGCAAAAACTTGAATCAGATTCTGAGCTACTCAGGGAAGAGGAGCTGGTATCCACCTTGATAGTGTCTGCACTTGTGATGCTATGTACATCTGAACCTTTAATAAAGAAAAAAAGATATAAAGCCATGAGCACTGTTAAAAAACAATGAATACTGGCATCTTAAACTTTGGTAGAATTGAATACAGTTGGGCCTCCTTTATCCCCACACTTGGGATCAGCATACATGCATAAGGGAATCCTATATTCAAAACATGCAGTTACCGAGTTTGAATGAATGCATGTTTCTGATCATGAAAAATTGAATTGAATGTGTAATAACAATGTTGGGAATAATGTATATAAGTAACCCAAATAGTTTGCGATATTACGAGTATGCTTGAAATCTTTGTTGGTTCCGCTAATTATTTGAGTAAAATAGGCAAATTCTCAAGTGATCTGGATAAAGGAGACTGGATAAGGGAGGTCCAACTGCATATAAATTTCTATTAGTCTAAAACCATCAGAAACCAGCTAAGTTATATTGGTCTGACACATTTGTTAATTTTATAATACTTGAGCATTTTTTAATGGACAATTTGTTAATTGATGCATTCATTCATGTCTAAGTGAATTATAATACTAGCATTTAGAAATGTTCAATTACTTTTCCATTGGACTGTTCCCAATGAAACCAATAGGTCTGTCCAATATAATCCAACAGAATTCTTTCATGATGGTTTTCTATAAGTATAAGACTAACAGAAAGAAATTGTTGGATTCCTATTATTGGATCAGCAAAAATTTTCTGATGGATTTCTAATGGACCAACAGAAGTATGTGTTGGATTTCTATTGGAGCAATATAACCTTTCTGCTGGTTTCTATGGGTCCTTTATTTCCCTTTCCCTATTGAAACCATTAAACTTATTGGTTTCTATGGGTCCAATAGCCCTCACCTCGTGCTATCACACAAAGCAAACAGAATCAAAATCAGATGAGAAATGGCATAGGAGTGGCCTTTTGTAGGATTTTGAAGCAAAAGGTCAAAGATCATACACAGACACGCACAGAAACACACAAGTATGGCGCCCGTTTCACAGTCCCCTCCTCAAATTTGTTCGGTGGGGTCACAATTTAAATTAAAGACATTTTTTTTTTAAATGCAAGTTTGCATTGTTAAAAAATTCAATTTGTAAGAATCTGTAATTTTTATAATCTTTAGACTTCGAATTTAGATCATTGACCGCCCACAAATCACGGCTCTTGTGGCAAGGTTACGTCATCAAAAAAGGGTAGGTTTTTTTTTCCTCCACCAAGTTTTGAGACCTGTGCCTGTAATTTGAACTGCACATTCATTTATTGCTTATGAAAAGCAAAATGTTAATTCCCTAGACTCTATACAGCATACAAGCCTACACTGTACCTGCTACCAGACGAACGCTGACTCATTTTAACATGCATGCACATACAATGATCAGTGGCGGATCCAGCAGGGGGCGCACCCGGCATGTGCCCCCTCTATATTTTGAGAATTACCTCGTGAACATACACATTACTAAGGTTAAATTGTGATCTGCGCCCCCTCTTTATTTTTAATATGCTCTTTGCACCCCTCTAACTCTATTTTAAAATCCTGAATCCGCTACTGATGATATCACATTTAGCAGGGATTTGCAATTTTGTATTATAATGCACTTTATCCAAAACTTACCAGACCATTCTTCATCTTCTTTTAGCACCATGAGGCTGACTGTGGGATTGCTGGTCACCACATCTCCTAGTACGTCATCGTCTATACCAAACCCTTCTTGTTCATCCACAAGTACGAGATCTTCCCCATCCCTTATGTGGAATTTTCTTCTGACTGTAGGAGAGATTAAATAAATGAGAATAAATATCACAGTGCACTTTTCAGTTTCTTACAGATTGATGGCTCAGTCATAATAAACGAATGCTGCAAAAACTGCTGCTACAAGCCCAACTGTGCTATAGTATACAAATAACGCACGTCCCAGAGTGCAATAGCGGTGAATGCAGTACGCGCGAGGTTTCTTTATATTGGTGCCGCTCTGTGCAACAAGCCGCTTGCGGCGAGTTGACAGTGCGAACCATCTGAAGAAACCGAGCGAACACTGCATTTACGTTTCGCACAACAGGGTCAAGTGCGTTATTTGTTTTATAAAATAGCGACACAAACAGCAACAAACAAAAGTTTAGATCTTAAGTATACGAGAGTTCGATCTAGATCTAGAGTTATGTTGGTTCTAGAAATAAAATGAGGGTCTAAGACCTTGCAGGCTTACCAAAAAGTCTACAGGATTCATTGTTTGATTAAAAATAAAATGCATAGGGTGTCTAGAGACGAGTCTACATCAGACAGCTGAAATTCCTGGCTTCATTATAAAATCCAAAAGTCAAAACGGGTCTAAATCCAAGGCAAAAGTAAAACAAAAATTTGCTTTCTAATAATACCCCGCTCTAGCTAGAGCTAACGCGTACGCTGCGCTGGGGATCATGGTGGATCTTGGAGCGTACAATATTAGCTACGCGTAGCCTATAGCCTACAATGCACTCGAGGGAGCGTACTAGTACTACGCGTACGCGCGCGCACTGGATCCCCATGGTCACGCGTACGCACCGTGCAATATAACTTTTTACTGCGCTTTTTCTGCACTCATTTCTGCAAAATCGTGCTTGCATCAAAAATTTGTCAATGCCATGTGACGCGTATTGACCAATCACGATGCTTAAAATACTAGGCTAGATCTAGAGCCATTTTATAATAGTAAAACTGTTAAATGGGACATCAAGCTCAACCGGGGGTGGAGTTTGGACTGTTGTGTGCGCTACAAATAGTCTAGATCTAGATCTAGATCTAGAGATTGAATTTCCATGTTTATTATTTTTGCATTTTTTTTATTACATGAATGGGGTAGATCTAGTCTAGATCTAACGTTAGATCTAGATCTAGATATCTAGGCCTAATGTCAATGCAGATCTAACGTTAGAACTCTAGATCTAACTGTTAGGCCTAGAAATCTAGAGTCTAGATCTAGTCTAGACTTCTAGATCTAGATCTAGATCTAGCCTAGACCTGATATTTTTGCAAAAACCCAGGATTAGGCCCTAGACTAGGTCTAGATCTACTGATTTTTCCTTTACATTTTGAAACAAATATGTATTAAATAACATATAGACCTAGATCTATCATGAATGTTTGCCCTTTGGAGTATTTATCAATGATAATTTTTCAGAAATCCATAAAATATTAAATGGCATCATGCTGACCGGATACCCAACCCGGCCGGACAGCCAAGGCATAGTAGGCCTAGACCTCTAGGCCTGGGCTACCCAACGACAGGCGCGGCTAGCGCCAGCTGACGAACACGTAATACATAGGCTAGATCTATAAAAGTTTATAACAAACAAGAACCATGTACACTTACTGAGTTCAAAGAATCCTACTGTGTCTTCTGGATCTATAGGCAGGTATTTTCTAATACTTCGATCCGCTGAACAGACCCTGACGCTTAATGGCATGGTTGCATGCACTTCGATCACTTCACATCTAGAATCTAGGCCTAATTTGAAGAATTACTACTCCAGAATCAAGACTTCAAGTCAGTGCCAGTGAAATTCTCTAGCCACATGCGCGCTCTCGTCTAGCTGTGCGCGCGCAGCTGCAGAGGCGCATATCGGATCATATGACAACTTTCGTCCAATGATTTTCGTCGAATTCTCTAGCTTATGCGCATGTGCGATTTTATAACACCAAATATGACACCATCAGCCTGTAATTGAATATTTTCACACCGTTGGTGTTATTTTTCGCCAATCGGACATGAAATGAACACCAAGGGTGTTGATATTTTTCTATTCCATGCTGGTGTTGAATATTTAACACCCTGGTTTTTGCAGTGTAAGAGGCTACGGGCCGTATTCGGGAAACCTGATGAAAATATTGACATTTAGTAACTTTTCTGTTACTAGAACTTTCCTCTTATATTTCCTTACCCAGCGCGTGGTCAAAAGTAAGGCAATGACAATGACAATTTGACAATGATGAAAATGACGATGACAATTTATTCTTATTTCACCCACATTAGGGTATTGGAGAAGTTGACAATCAGTTTGATTTTGTCAATTATACACTGTACAATATACAATTCAAATCGAATTAATAATTAAACAGAAATATAAATATCGACGCTAGTGAGAACAATTATGATGATAATAATAATAATGATTATAATAATACCAACATTAATAATAATAGTAGGCCTAATGATAATAATACAAATACTGATAATACAACTTATAAATATAACTAATGACAAAATTAATGGAAGTAATTGAAAAAGAATGTTACTGGCACCAACAACAAAAATTGTTATTTGCATTAATGATTTAATGAAATTAATCTTGATTTCAATTTAAGAATTTGATATAAGACAGAAAGAGAAAAAGAAACATAACATTGAACTCATAACATTGTATGTGCATATAACTAAATTAATGAAAACGGAACATTATTTGTTGACATAATTTTACTAAGCTTAAGCGTATTTGTGCTTTTTGGGTGGTTAACAAGATGACACACTTCCAGTGTATTCGGTTATTTAATAAAATATTTATTGAGGAAAAATGTTCTGTCTAAACTAATTTACACATAAATGTGCACCGGAAAATGAACATTATTTGCATATATAAATTCCCGTGTAGACCAATCTTAACATTGATTCATCATCTTCAATGACAAAGCAACCATCAATTTCATCACTTTATTTGATTCAACTGAGATCTTAGATTGAAAATTATGATACAAATATGAATATTGATATATTGTTGATGGAAGAAGAATGTGTCCACTTTGTTCACAGACCTATTAAACATTGGAGACTTGTAATGCAAAGTTATAGAAATAATCTGAAGGAAAATTTCTTTAAAACGAACGCTTATTTCACATAAAATTATAGAAGGGTCTACAATGTTTGTAATCCATGTAAGTAAAATCGTAAACTTTGGAGTATTGTTTGTTTTCATTGAAAATAATCATTCAATCAAAGCGTTAACAGGGCAAAAAAAAAAGACTATAAAGAAATATTTTTTGTCTGTTCTCTTTACATAAATTAGTGTACATATCCTAAAACTGAAGGTGTTTCAAGAAGAAGAAAAAATGCAATTCAAATACAGTATACTACATGTTAATGATACAAGACGATGATTATTCTGTTGTAAAGGCTTTATCAATGATTTGGCACCTCATTCCAATAATTTTGCCTATATTCTTTTCAATAACATTTCCTTCCTCTTATTACGGCATAGGTTCTTTTATAATTATGTACACTGTCGCTCAAATATGTTAGTTTTGCGCCAATTTAGGGATTTATTTTAAAAATAATTTAAAAATAATAGATCTAGATAATAGTATACATTCTCAGATTTTATTGAATAATAATTTGACAATGTGTGTTTTGCGTGACTGCTAAAGCATGTGTAAGCTTTATGCTTATCGACTAGGGGACCTACGCCCTTAAGTCATAAATGACAGTAATGAGGACTAATGCCCCCCAAAAAGGGCACTAATATAGCACATCGACACGGTTTTGATCCTGGGGCCTCACAGTTACGAGGCCATTGCTTTGTCTCTGAACCATGACTGTACGCAGCGGGGGCTAGGGTAGGGGGCAGTTTCCATTAAAAAAAAAATGCAATACATTTTTAATAATTTATTGCATTTTACCCCGGTTCCCAACTTAATTAATTTAAAATAATTTCATAAATTGGGGTAAAACAAAAATATTCCAACTATATGAGCGACAGTGTATATATATATATATATATATACTATTTATCACATACATTAACTATTGAATGTAGCAACATGAAGCATTTACAAAGAAACATTCCAGCCTAGGCTACTGCCTGCATACACAGGGCAGTACAAGACGGGAAAAATATTATATAAACATAATCATACATTTAAACAAAAGGGATAAACATACATTGAAGACAAATACAATGAAAATATCATATGGAATTGCTACGTAAGTGTTGGTACTTGGCACATTGACGAATATTACCTTTATATATACTTACTTGGCATCGAAAGCAGTTTGTACACACATGTTTATCAAGTCTTCTCTACATACTAACTATGTTTATATACTATAACCTCAGACTGCATGGAAAAACATTATTGGTTCCAAAAACTCAAATACATCTATAGGAATAATTTCTATCTCTTAATCCCGCTCTCACTATTCAGGTTTTGCCATGAAAAGGTACTAACGTTCTATATCTAGTGCATGCATGGCTTCGTTTTTGAGATATGTTGGTCTCCTTCCCATTACAATGAATACCCTTCTAGGCCGTCACCGTTTCTTTTCGTTTGTTTTTCATTATCTATAACGTCTTTTTACATCCCGAAAGCTCCCTTTATTATCTTGACAGCTCCATTCCCTTTCTCCATAGCTCATAGTCCCTTCTCCATATCTTTCTTTACCTTCTCCATATCTTTCTTTACCTTCTCCATACTTTTCTTTCCTTCCTTCATACCTTTCAGTTTTGCCCTCAATGTTTTCCTTTCTTTCTCCATATCTTCCAGTTCCTTCATTGTTTTCCCCATAGCTGTCTTGCTTTCCTCCATAGCATCCAGCTCCTTCTCCGTAGTTTTCCTCACCTCATCCATAACGTCCATTACTGTATATATAGCGTCCATTACTTCTTTCACACCTTTTGAATACAACGATACATCACAGATGTTCATATTTGGCTAGAGGAATTAATACAGTTTATGACAAAGCAACTTTCATGTAAATATGTCATGGATGTTCACGGTCCTAAAGCAAAGCAAAGCAATAACAACAAAATATAAATTTTACATTTAAGAAATGAAGAACAAAATCTTGCTTAAGAAGTAAAGGATATATTATGTGCTAATAATGATGAATTGAAATGTGGATTGGATCCAAATGATAATGCTTCGGGTCTAATTTCCTCAAACTATTATACTGAGTCCTCGGCCAAAAATGTTTTTAAAAAGTATACCAGATTATTGCTTGTCTATATTACATCTTAATATTAGAAGTCTCAACAAGAATTGTGAACAATTTCGTTTGTTTCTTGATAACACAGGAGTTCCTAAAAATACAGTATTAGGCTTAACTGAGACGTTGCTTTCAGATCAAAATAAAACACTGTTTTCTCTCCCTGGATATGATATACTTACAAATAATCGTATAAACAAAATACCTAGGTGGTGTGTCGCATTATTTGTGCCAATTCAATTTGAATATGTTATAATCGAAGACATGAAAGTGATTAATGAAATTGCAGGAACTTTGTTTATTGAAATTACTGATCGCAATAGAAGAAAAAATATCTTGGGAGTTGTTTATAAGCCACCTCAGAGCAATCATGCCACTTTGAATAATGTATTACACTATCACTCCGTTCAAAACAAAAAGTGTATCATTATGGGAGATTTCAACTATGATCTCTTAACAAGTGATGCTAATATTCAAGCACATGATTTTTTAGAGCCATTCCTCTCTGCCTCTTTCTTGCCACTTATTTCTAGACCCACTAGAATAACCAATACTTCGGTAACTCTTATTGACAACTTTTGTTCAAATGTACGTTCTGAATTTAAAGCTGGCATAGTCCTGTCAGCTATTTCTGATCATTTCCCGGTTTTCATGTATTATTCCGAACGATTTCAGGCAAATAACTATCCTAGTGATGCATCTAAAAGACGTGTGTATAGTGACGAAAACCTATGTGGATTGAAACTAAGTCGAGAAGAAGAATCTTGGGATGACGTGTTTAATACAGAAGATGTTAATCAGTCGTATAAAGTTTTTATTTGAATGTTTATGTCTCGTGTAAATCGAAACATTCCTTTTTCTAAACCCAAGTCTAAAAATTATAAGAAGTCATCCAGACTACCTTGGATCAAACACGGATCCAGTATACTAAGTATAAGAATAAACTTACAGGAGTGATACGTACTGCTAAAAAAAGCGTATTATCATGATCAATTCAATCGTTGCAAAAATGATCTTAAAAGAACATGGAAGATCATCAATTCTACCATCAATAATGGATCTAAGCATTCTAAGATTACTAAGCTTAGACATAATGGTGCAATAGTTGAGAATGAAGTTAAGTTGGCAGATATTTTTAACAATTATTTTTCTCAAGTTGGTTTTAACCTCGCTAGGCACATACCCTCCAAATACCGTTTATTTCACCACTATTTGGGGGAGAGAAATGAAAGTTCTATATTTTTCTCTCCTACGTACCCACAAGAGATAGTTAAGATTATATCTTGCCTAAAAATAAATAAGAGTGCAGGATTTGATGAAATTGATAACAACCTTTTACAGAAAACTATGAATTATATTGTTGATCCTCTCGTTTATATATTTAATTTGTCATTATTATCTGGACATATTCCAGAATCAATGAACATTTTCGAAAATAATCCCAATTTTCAAAAAAGGTGACAGAACATTAACAAGTAATTATAGACCCATATCTTTGCGTACAACCTTGTCTTAAATCCTTGAAAATTTGGTCCACATACGGAACATGGGTTTCTTTAAAAATCACAACATCCTCTCTGATACTCAATTTGGCTTCCGAGAAAAGAGTAGCACTACCCATGCAATACTTTCTTTAGTTCAAACAGTTACCAAAGCTATCGATCAGTATTCTAATACGGCTGGTTTGTTCATAGATTTTTCTAAAGCATATTTGATACTGTTGATCATGATGTCCTTCTTTACAAACTTTCGCACTATGGAATTAGGGGAAAACCGTTGACGTGGTTCAAGAATTATCTTAAAAACTAACTTGGAAAGCGCACGCTGACAATATCTGCAAAATTATTGCTCGCAACACTGGTATCCTTAGCAAATTAAGACACTTCCAACCCCATTATTTTATGTTATCCTTGTATTCTACGCTTATTATTCCTTACTTTAATTACGAACTTATTGCCTGGGGCAGTGCAGCAACTTCCCAAATTAATAGACTCTTTATATTACAAAAAAGAGCTATTCGTATTATTAGTTATGCAGATTTCCGGGCACACACAAATAATCTTTTTCTAAATAATACAATTTTGAAAATTAAAGACTGGTTTATTTTTCAGCTTGGACAGTTAATGTACAAGCTCAACATTAAACAATTACCTTCGCCTTTTAATGATATGTTCATAAGAAATGATTCGATTTATGATGATCTTTTTCAAATTAGATGTTCTTTTGTGAGCCCAGTTATGTACAGGTGCTTAATGTAGATTTCCACTTCACTAGATGAATAGTCAAGAATATTCAGGTGTAAACAATAGCTAGGTTCTGTCAGGTGTATAGAATTGCAGACTCTTTGTATGACACATTTTCATTTGGGTGTGCTAGTCAAAATGCACATGCAGACAGCTCACTTTGATATTTGATCCTGAAGAGAGAGGTCTGTTTCAGTTTTGGAGGTGTTTCCAAAGAAAGGAACCGGCCGTGGTGTGGTGACAACCCAGTGCATGCTGAGACTGTTTCCCCTCTTCTCAGTGCCGAATTTTAAGTAAAGTACATTTTTATATATCATTGTAAACGTATGTCATTTTTATATGCTTAAACAGTCATTGTTATGGTCATTTAAGGAGGATAATATGAAGTTGTTTTATTACCGAATGATATGTACTTCTCGTCTGGCTGAGTCCTTTCAAATATGGACATTTAAAGAGGATAGTTAAGAAGCTGTTTTATTACCGAATGATATGTATTTTTTGTTTGGCTGAGTTCTTTAAAATATAGACATTTATGCTAATGTTAGAAAGTCAATGTAATACAAGTTGTATTTTGCGTTTTCGTGTTAATTTTAGGACCTTCATGTATGCCGTTGAGATTTCGGTCTTTTCTTATTGTAGACGCCGGTCAACCACGGCCTACGTAGGCCTATAGGACAAAGTCAGGTGTTTCAAATTCATTCAAGGTGATTGACTGGCAGCTAGGTCCAGGCGCGGATCCAGGACTTCTTAGGGGAGGGGGCCCATTTTTTTTTTTTTTTTTGCTCCCGAAAATTTGAAAATCGCGCCGGCCGAAAAGTCGCTCAGTGGGGGGGAGGGGAAGAGGGGGGGGGGGGGGGGTAGTGAGCACATTTTGTAGGCCCTCGAACATTTGAAAATTTGCACCCCCCCCCCCCCTTGAGCGCCAGTGGGGGGGGGGGGGCATCCCCCCAAAAAGCTAAAAATCACGTGTTTTTACATGTTTTTTTCCCAGGGGGGGGGGGGCGCCTAGATCCGCCACTGGCTAGGTCACCACACGTGGTATCTGCATGCTGCTAATCGATAAATGGGGCGTCAGTGCCCATAGCTCCAGGACTGAGATGACCTGTTTAGTTTTTCTTCAACCAGATCAACGGCGCGCGTCTCTAGCTTTCAAATGTTTAGGGCAATCACTCGCCTATGGCACGCCTTTAGGGAAACAAATAAATATATGCGACACTTTCAGAAAATATTTGACAAGTTTTATTTGACAAGAATTTTATTCGACATAAATTTCATTCGACACATTGTTCGTCAAAAATTGTATATGTCAACAAATTTATTCGACAAAAATTTTATTCGACAAAATTTCATTCGACAAAAATTTCAGTCGACAAAAATTTCATTCGACACAAATTTTATTCGACAAAAATTTAGTTCGACAAAATCTTATTTGGCACATTTTGTTTTGTTCTACAAAAATATTATTCCAAGGAATTTTTTTACTTTTTATTCGACAATAAAGGTATTCAATGCAAAAGATGTATTCAACAAAGGAGCTATTCGGCGTTCCATACATAATGCATGCCACGAACAAGTATTCGTCTTAAAAATTTCATTCGACACAAATTTTATTCGACACAAATTTTATTCAACCAGAATACATGCGATACTTCACACAACCACCTGAACCGTGCAGTAGTACACGCGCGCGCAACAGGTAGTCTGCAAGCACAGACCCTAATTTAACACTTTATTAAAAATAATTGTGCCTTGAGAGAAGCCTAGCCCAGCTACCTACTGGTTGTGTCAGGAGCAGCGATAGTACATGGCCTATGGTAATCTTATAGTGCAGACTCTCTTTTAAGACTGACCAGGGTTTGTGCCTGCAAACTACACAACAGGCGCGTTTACGGTACGAAGACTAGGAAGGCCTATAGCCTCTGGTCGGACTCACGCACCGGCATGTAGGTAGTCTAGGCATGCAGCGCAGCTACTTAGCTAGCTGGGCTATAGCTGGCTCAGGCAGGCCATCAATAATTTATCTCATACTTTTGCTTTGTTGATGTTATATAACATTATACACTGTATTTACTTTTAATGCCCTGCATTTTCCAGTAAAATGGAATTGTCCTGGGCTTTTGTATCTTCTCCTTTGTTGTGCAAGTTTGAACAATAAAGTGATGTTTAAAAAAGAAATGTTTTATTATTTCTAGTTTCTATATACAGTCAACAGCTCTACATGCACATGTGTATATAAGACGCACGTGCGGGTGTTAAAGTGACACACTGGTTATTTAATCTACAGACCTACTTTTGTGGGGGGGGGGGGTGTGCACATACTGCACCCCTATTAAAACGGTCAATTCATGTTCCAGTACAAACATAACAACTTGCCACCTGTCTATGATGACCTTTTTATACATGAACTCTTCTATGGCAAGAAATGTAAGTAGTTTTCATATAC